AATGTTCAACCCAATCTCAATCCACCCATTTGCCACCCCCACCTTAATTGATCAAGCTTAGAGATGGCAATTTCTACCTTATTCCATGTAAGATGATGAATAAACATTCAATGTTAAAAAAAGTAAAACTCCACCGACTTGTTTACTATTGAAAGGCATATGAACTTGTGTAATAAGTGTTAAATGTATAATATTTTGAATTTCATGTGAAAGATAATTGATAGTTTAAGTATTTATTAAATATTTATTCAAATAATTTGAATTTTTTATGTTTGTTCATGTCAATAAGTTAATAGGTAAAGAAAATATACATGCATCTGAAATCTATAAGACATGAATTTGGATTTTTGATGGATATACTGTAGGCCCAGCCCATTTCATTTCTGTTTGCTCCCTTGTATAGTTGTATTGAGGAGGACTACACTGAGATCAGAAGATTCTCTATATGCTACCATACATATTTGATATTGGGTTAAAATTTGTCCGGCTGCATTCTGGTCCACGGGGTCTACCAAAAAAGTCAAATACCCCTAAGGCTCAGCCCAAGCCATTGTCGAGACCTTTAAGCCCAAAAGTTTCTATTGGAATTATACTTTTTAGGGCCCAAGCCCATTTTATCATTCCAATGGTCGATTAAGGCCCGACGAGCGATGACATCTATTGGGTCAACCAGTCCAGCACCAGGTTAGCGAACCAAACCGGACCAAACTCGGATTTTCATTTTCAATGCGGCAGATTTATAGCAAGGTGTCTTTTGTATCTTTCTTTCTGCAGAAGAAAAGAGAGACGAGGAAAAGCAGGGTTTGGGTTTTCCTTCTGAAACTCKYCTCAAATTTGTTCTCCCTACAAATTATCCTGTCATTGGTTCCCAATACTGGTTTCTCATCGTGTTTTCGCCATGTCCGCTCTCAAGTATCTCGAATCTCAGCGTAACGCTCAGCCGGAGCTTGCCGATTGGTACAATGCGTTGGAAGATTTGTATCAGAAGAAGCTTTGGCACCAACTTACCCTCAAGCTTGAGCAGTTCGTTGCCCTAGCTGTATTTCAGGTCAGTTTGTCTGTTTTGTGCATCTTAATTGTTTCCTCAGTTGTGCTTTAGTCTACTCTCCCATGTTCTCCTTTTTGTTTTGTTATTTTACTAGATTTGATTTTGCGAACGAAGTCTTTACGATATATGAATTCGCTTATCTCTTTAGTGGATCTTTTTGGAACCGCTAAAAGTTCCTTTCTTCCTATTAGTTGATCTGCTAGAATGTAAGTTCCTGACGGAATACTTATGCTTTGAGGTCTCAGACGGGAGTGGGGTTTCTAATTGTTGAGAAAATTAGGGTTTCTATCTTATTGCGTTGTGAAGGTATGGTTTTGCCATTTACCCTATTGAGTAAAGGTTGTTCTGTTCACTCTAGTAGTTAGTAATATATAAGATTGGTCTTTGTTGGTTTTCCCGTGAGTTTTGGGTTCGAGGAATTGCCCATCTGTTACTTGGTAAGTTCCCTCGTAGTGTAGGTAGGCTGGATTTTGGCTTAGATGTGTAGGTCTAAATGGTTTGATCGTTTAGGAATGCGTTTAAAGCATTCGCTTTGATTAATTTAGGAACTCTCTATCCTTTTTTTTTCGAGGTGTTATATAATGTAAGCCATATTTACAGATGGGCTTGTAGGCATTTCTAATTTAAAAATTTTGAAGGGTGTTAAGATAGAGCTTCTCTACAATCACACGGTTAAGCCTTCCTATAGGCACCCCCACAAAGAATACATTAAAATGTAGTGGAGTTGGCTTCAGTAGTTACTTGCGTGGACCACGTATTAGGAACTGCTTTATTGCACACGGGATGGTCAGAATGTTGAACCATCTTGCTTCGTTTGTATTTATTTGATGTTCTCTCCTGATATATTTGGTCAGTTTCATTTTTATCCACTTTTCAAAAGAGCTTGCTGAAATCCAATTYGTGTATATGAGGAGGCAGCTGCCTGTGTGTATTTCGTACACAATGGATAAAATATAAATGTAAAAATTAGGTTCACAAGTATAACTATCTTCACTTTCCTATTTAATTTTATTAGCTGTGTTGTTATCTGGAGATTTTAACTATTTAAGGCCTGATGCAATCGGAGTTGCATATAAGTTGTAGAAGTTATAGCCCATGTTACCCAGATACGGCAAGGACACAGCTGGACAGGATGTCCAGTACACATTTTGTCAAGGCAATGCCTAGGCAGTTTTGGGGGTCACCTAATCACATTATCTCAAACATAGTTTTCAAGATGCCACTCTGAAGCTAGGCAACTAGGGAGTGCCTAAGATGCATAGGCACCTAGATGATTAGTTTTGCAAGTAAAAAACCCCTAAATTGTAAGTTGATTTTGCATGGTAACCAACAATTAGCAATAATATGCATCAAATAACTATAAGTTATATATATATATATATGATCAGAAAAATTATAAGTTTTATATTATGACATAGAAAATTGTCATATTCATGAGAAGGTAAACAACTAGACATTTAAATGTATGAATTTCAATATGGCTTTGCAATATAATAATTCAATAGAGCAATTGCATTAAAAATAAACTATAAACATTATAAGGACTTCCACACCAAATGTAAAATAAAAGTATTTCCACACCAAACAACCCCTAAGATAAGTCTTCACATAATTTTTCTTCTAACATTCCCAAGCACATAGCATTCACTAAAAGACAAAGTAATAGCCATAAGCCAATAAACCTTTGATTCAGCCATTTTCATAAGCTTTTATCAAATAGCCCCTAAGATAAGTTTTCACATATTTTTTCTTCAATCAAAACATTCACATGTTCTGTTTACATTATCTTAATTTAGATTCATTTTAGAGTACAAAAGTTCCCAACAAAGAAAAAGCATTCAAATATATATATGCAGAAAATATGAGAGTTTAGAGTTTTTAATTATTGTTCACTGTATCATGTTTATTTTTAATAGAATGAGTCAACCAATTAAAATGTGTTGAGCATGTTGTAAAGCACCTGCCTATCATTTCCAGATGCCTAGTTGTGCACCTGATAGGCTGAGTAAGCACCTTTTCTAAACTACTGAGGCCATAGTTGTCAAGGTGATGCCTAGGCAGGTAATGAGGCAGTTTTAAGGGGTAGCTTGCTTGTTTCACCTCAAGTAACTTTTGAAAGGCATCTGTTCAGTCAATTAGACACATGCTAGGCAACAAGGCAGGCACACAGGTACCTAATATGCTACATGGCTGCTTTATAATACGTTAAATATTGCTGGAAGGATTAGAAGTGATCGAGTGGCTAAGAAAGTTCCTAGCTGGAGCCTGTTTAAAAGGTAAGCAGATAAACTGGCAGGATTTTAGTACACTAGAAGGGAGAAGATATGTTGTTGAGTGTAAAAGGAATGGAAAGGGGTTCTTCATAGCTTTGACTGAATTCTTTGGGAAGGGATAGAGGCAACTGGTGTGTCTACCAGCAGGAAAACAGAACCAAGGCTGGGGGGAAGTAGATTGGTTGCTCAAAGAGTTCTTAGCTCAAAGAGTAGCAAATGAGRAAAAAGCCTCCATAAGGGAGGAGAAGGCTTATCTCAGTAACAATAGGGTACAACAAGG